GAAGAAACAGAAATGTTTACATCACATAAAACACTTTTAACTGTGTCTAAGTAAGGATGCCCAAGCCAACAGTGCCACAGAGATAAAGACTCTGTAGTAGCTTGAGCAAGAAAACAAGAGCTCGTGCAAGAGGAAACAGATGATGAATCAGTAGCCAAATAGGTACTTGAGACAAAACTAGAATAAGGTGATATAGGTTGAGCACCGAGCTTATACATTCCAGCTAACTCAGGTCCATGCATAAGAATTTATCGAGTCTACAAATCCTTAACAAAAAATCCATGAGGAAAAAACTCAATTGATACACCATTTTCCTTAGTAGCCTGAGAAATGGATAATAGATTTTTTTTGCATAGTAGGTACACACAAAACTCTATTCAGATGCAAATGAGACATAGGAGAAGTTAAGTAAGAATTCCCTATATAAGAAACAAACAAAGAAGTTCCTCCACCAACTATAACAGTGCTACTACCTTGTGGAGGAGCAGCAGGCTGAAAATGTGTAGGAGTTTTGGCGATGTGTTGAGTTGCACCGGAATTAAGGTACCAAGCATCATCATCAACTACTGTATGAGATGTAATAAAGGCTTGTGCAGATGCAAATTCAGTTGGAGTAGATTGAGAAGGTACAGCAGAAGTAGATAACACAGAGGAAGCAACTGAAACTGGTAGAGTTGAACTAGATTCTAAACTAGATAGAGGTGTAAAACTACTTAGAACATACGAAGGAGGCATAACAAATGTGGAGTAATGATTTAGCTAGCCAAAAATGTTAATAGAAAAAGAACAAGATGCACTGGGACTAACGAAATGAGCTTGTAGAGGAGTTGTTGGTGACATAGAAGGTCGTGGAATATAAGAAGAATCATACCTGTAGCGAAAATAACACTTCTCAGCAGTATGACTTACTTTTATATAGATCTGACAAGTAGGTTTATCAAAACTTCCTCTAAAAAAGACATATCCTCTTCCGCATGAATAATTTCCTCTGATGGAAGAAGGAAAACCTCTTCCTCTGCCTCTTGAGTATGAAGATTGAACAGCAAACACATATGGATCTTCAAATGCATATTCCCATGGTTGTGACGGCACTATAGTGTAATGAGCTTGAGCTAAAGTTGCATTGGTTAGAAAAGTCTTTTGCCTTGCTTCAGAATCCATAAGCATCATATAAATAATATCAAGATCAAATTGAGGTTTGGAAGCATTAATAATGGCGATCACAGACTCATATTCAGTAGTTAAGCCATTCAAAATATATGAAACATAATTATATTCTGAAACGAGCTCACCAAGTAAGGCTAAGTGGTCACAGATGGATTTAAGATTTGCTAAGTAATCTCACATACTAAGCTCGCCCTTCTTTTAATTGGTGAGAAGATTTTGATAGTACAAGATTTTTGAATCTGATTTACTGGAGTAGAGCCTATTCAATTTTGTCCAAATCTGAGCGGCAATCTCAAGACTAATGAGCTCCAGCAACACATTTGTAGTAATAGATGCCAACAACCACAATGCAAGTGCAGAGTCAAGCTGCTCATAAGTATCAAAATCAAGATTCGGTACTTTACGATTATTTTTATCTTGGATTACTTGTGATGGCACACGAACAGAGCCATCGAGGATGGATGTGAGATGATATTATTTCACCATGAAAAACACCTGCTGTTTCCATATCAGGTAATTAGTATCATTAAGCTTCACGATGATTTTTTGTTCGTGAAGCTACGAGATATTTGGCCGATATCGACGGCTGAATCCTTAATGCTATTTGAGATGATGACATTGTTATGCTAGTTTATCAATCCACAGTGAGGAGATGGACCAACACCAATACCTTTATAAATCTTGTACAGGATTGAAGCTTAGCCTTACGGCTAGGCTCTGATACCATACCTGTAACTCTAGAGAAGAAAGAGAAAATATAACACCAAGGGAAAAATATGAATATTGAATATGTGTGTACATGCTTATATAGTGGTTCTGATTATTAGCTTAACTAAGACACATGTAGACAAAACACAACAGAATGTTAAACTGATATAACAGCTTCTTGACTGATTAACCAACTAACCACTATTACTATACTAATACACACTAATATATAGTAACTTAAGGTATCATTGAGCTTGTGAAAGCGATGGGTCTAGACTCCAAAGCTAAAAAGCAAGCTGATAAAGATGATGATGAGAATGGCGGATGTGCACAACATACACATCCTACTTCTACACGTGATCTCAAGAATTTTGATGATGGAAGGTTGAACCAGAAACATGATCTTCCTTTTTGAGAAAATCATTTACCGAATCATGAACCAAAAATATGGTAGGAAAAAGGGATCCCAGTTAATACGTGATTGCACCGAATATACATTGGCAGAAAAAAAAATTGAAGAGAAGATTGGGTGAATCACATAGTTAATTCCATAAAATTTTTATGGTCGTTGGTACTACTAGGGATGAGAGATTGTGTCGTGTGGTGCCACTCATCCCATGCTTGTAGTTGGGACACGCATATTATCCAAATTCGAGGGGAACATTGTTTGGATCAAGTTTATTGCCACAAAATAAATAAATGCACTAATAATTGAATATTGGCAAGATCGTACAATATCCAGCCTATTTTATATGTTGATTAGTTTTAGGATGTGCACAGACAAGTATTCACCTCGTCCTATTTTACAGGAGGTTTTCTTTTTTCTTTCCTTTTTTTTTGAAATTACAAGTTAGGTTATTCCCTCTATTTTTCCTGTTTGCTTTCTCTTTCTCATTTTCATTTTTCCTTCTCCTCCCCTTTCAAACCCCTTTTTTTTGGATGATGAGTTCTCTTTAAGCCACTATAGTTTACAGTTTAAATTCGACCTCCAGCTCAAAAATTAGTTTTAAGTAATGCTATTGGAATTGGATTGGACATTAAGTTACAGAAAGAGAGATTAATCGACGATTAAAGAAGATCGGGCTTATGCTTTACTCTTACAACTTGAGAGAGATTCAATGGCAAGAGATTTAGCCATTTGGGTTTAAGGTTTGAGAGTTTGAGATTGAGAGACAATATTTGTAAATTAAAAAAACAATGTCATATTTGTAAATTAGGGAAGAATAAAAAAATAAAATGGACTATCTATACAGTCTAAACTGCAGTTCTCCTAGATCATGCTAATTCTCCTAGTTCAATATGCCAGTTCAGGTGGTTACTTCTTCCCCTGATTATGTATCAATTTTGGATCGGCTACTTGGATGGTTGCGATTGAATTGGCCAATCTAGTTCAATTTTGATAACCTTGGTTTTCAGCAACTTAACCCCTTGGATGATCAAAAGCCTTAAGTTGAAACCACAAAGTACTTGTGTGATGGCCAGACTATTTGGTACAGTCCGGCTTGAAAGCCAGCTAATTTGGGATTATAATTTCTTAAAAAATGTAAACTTTAAAAAAATTCATTTAATAAGAGAAAGGGATAAAAAAGTTATGGAAAAATTAATCTTTTAATCCTCCAACTTTAAAGTCACTTGTAACTCGGTTCCTCAACTATGACTCGCTGTAACTCAGTCCCTCAACTATAACTCGCCTATGACTCAGTCCCTCAACTTTTGAATCACTTACAAATTAGTCCCTTAGCCTTTGTTAATTTTTTTTCACGTTAGCTTATATCTCATATTAATGAATAAGAAAGAGTATTTTAAAATAATATATGAGCATTTTTTTATCCCTCTTATTTGATAAAAAATTTAAAAAAATTAAAAAATAAGGACCGAGTTATAGGTAAATTAAAAGTTGAGGGTCTGAGTTGCAGCGAGTTATAGTTGAGGGACTGAGTCACAGCGAGTCATAGTTAAGGAACTGAGTTACAAGTGAGTTAAAAGTTGAAGAACTAAAAAATTAATTTTTCGAAAGTTGTTTAAGAAGTGATATAGCAAAGAATAATTTTAAAATAAGTTTTGTCAATGAATCACTATTTTTTTCAAAACTTTTTGTGTTATAAAAAATCAAATCAATTTAAAAAAGGAAAAAACTTATACATTCAACCTCAATTAAATCAAAACAAGAGTTTCATTTATATGGTATTCATTCTATAATAAATTCCTATTATTAAAATTATTAATATATTAAAACTTACTTATTTTGATTTGATTAGATAAAAGTAAATTAAGTATATATAAAGGTAGGGTATGGGCGAGCTTGGCCTCTATAAGCTCAAGCTCTTGATCTCAATTACCTTAAAATACCTCATTTTTTGATACTCAATCTTTGTCTAAAAGACTCAGGATTGAGCTCGTAAGTCCTTTAAAAAAATAAATTAAAAAGTATATAGTAACAAATAATTAAAATATTTTGAAATTTAAAATAAATCAAACAAATCTGTATGTTTCATGCTTTTTCTGTTACTAAACTGGATTTCGAGATCCTAAACTGGGTAAATTACCTCCCTAGTCATTTGAATGATATCCCTAATAGTAGTAGCTTCCTCGTTTCTTCTTCCTCAAATTCTGCTTTCCATCTTCTATTTGCTACTCCTAGTATCTTCTCTTTTGAGTGTTGCCCCCACACCCAATCAACCAAATTCGCCATTCTTTGACCGAGCATCAGACCGTAAGTATAGCAAGCAATTATAGCAAGTACCATTTTCATTGAAAGCCCTAACTAGAGAGTCTTAACTATCAATCGAAAGAGAGTAGGCAAGGATGCTTAGAGACTTGGAGGATTTTTTTATGACTTATCAGGATTCGAGCGCCCTTTTTTATGACTTATCAGGAACAAGTTCTAAAACTCAATTACCTTAAAAACTTTTCATTTTCAAACCAGAACCTTTATTTAAATCGCCTTCAAGTCTAACCCTTATTCTCGATTCTAATTATCCAAATCTTGCTCATTAAAAATGGGGAAAAAAAATTTAAACGGAGGTACACCTTTATAGGAAACAAAACGCCTGTAAGGTAAGAAGAGGATACTAGCATAAATTAAAAAACACAAAACACCCAAATACGTTACAAAGGCCCAAAACACTACCATGCCAAACCCAAACCCTAAAATAGTCATCTGCCAATTAAAGAGCAGGTTCTGGGACTCTACGAACGAATGCTATATGTGCGACCAACACCAACGTTGTAATATCCACTGACAACTTCAACCAGAACCTCCAACACCACCCAAAATCAGCCGCCATATAGAGAACCATATTACATACCTACTCAGCGACCACGCTCAAGCTTTCTTCCTCCACACCACTTGACCATTGCCTTCTTCCTGCCCGTCGCCCATATCCTCTCCTTAATTGTAGTTGCCCAAGTCCCCATTAAGTCACGACCCATCCACATCTACAAAAACCCTAGTAATTCTCCCAAACACCCACACTCTTGGCAATGACCAAAAACTCCCATAAGACGGAGAGAATCAACAAAGCCCAGTTTGGGATGGATTGAATTTAGCGACTCCTGCTGCCTGGTATTTGTTTAATAGTACATCTCATTCTGATCAAATGAAATGACATGAAGTCAAAATCCTTTTCCATGTCCGTGGGCATTCCGATTCGCTATGACTCGAAGAATGCTCTCTCCTTCTCAGATTCATCTGGTTAGCTGCTGTTGTGCATATCGTCAAAAAATATAATACGCTACTTGACCCCTGTATATTCAGTTTATATATTGCTTCGCCCACATATATTCAGTTTGGGTGTCTATTATATATCATCAATTTTAATTTATAACCGCCACCAATATTCAATATAACGTACGCCATTTATAATATTTTTTAGAACCAGTGCGAAGTACGTGCAGTTAATGAAAAAGTGACAACTTACACGAAACCATCAAAAGTATCATCGAAAAGTCTCTGGATTTTGCAGAAAAACAAATACAGCATATTTGGCCGTAGAAATGTCGAGGTAAACAGCAAGAAAAGGAACACGCACGAGTAGAGAATGAAGATGCAAGCGCTGAAACTTTCTACAGATGCAAGTAAACGAGTTTTAGGGGTTTGGGAGTCAGTCTTCCCAGAGAGTCAAGTCGGTGGTGGTTTCGATGTCATCCCAATTGAAGCCTCTCTGCAAGGCCGGTGGTGTCATGATCAACCCTTCTGCCATACTGTTCATGAGTTCGGGCATGTTAAACACCTCCTCTTCATCCCAATACATGCTCCTCGCCTCCGCGTCCCCTTCTTCCTCTAATGCTTCCGAGCACTCAAGGTTGCAGGTCGAAGACAGAGCAGAGATGTTCTTCCCAGCATCGTCGCCGCAAAGAAACTTCCCAGCCGCTTCCATGGCGGCAAACTGAATGGATCTGAGGGAGGAGGTGAGCGGATTGAGGCGAGGCAAGGAGGGAGCAGCGTCAGGGAAATTTAAGGATGCGGAATCGCCCTTGAAGGCAAGAGCAGCAACATCATGGGCTACGGCTGCCATGTCAGGGTTAGCAAAAGTGCCGAGCCACAAGCGCGCCTTGTTGTTGTTAGGTTGTCGAAGCTCGCACACCCACTTGCCGTTTCTCTGCCTGACGCCTTTGTATGTTGGATGACGAGTCTCTTGGAACTTCTTCCTTCCTGCCCTTCGCTTCTTATTCATCATCAATATGTGGAGAGGCGGTTTACGTTGAACGGAGAATGGGTTTCACGAGGGCTGTATGGTTTTAATTAGTTTGCAGAGCACGGCGTGCCGGCGTGGCCCATCTTTATACAGTTACGTTTTTGGCATTTGTGGCACCTGGAAAACGCGTTCCACGTGCGCTAATTGATGTGTCAGCCTCATTTTTTATGTTCCACGTGTAAGTGTGCGAAGTTAGTTTCTCTATGTCACGTGCCGAAAAGGAAAATCTAAAAGTACTCGTCCTTTTCAAACATGATGCTTCCTCCTTAATTTTATTTATTTCTACCCTCCAGTCACGTCTAAAATGAAAAAAAAAAAAATGAAGTGTTGTCTGTGTCACTCAGATCTCATCCCAAGGATGAGCAGGAAACCCATTGGCTTCGTCCGTTCAGAGTAAAAAAATAACGTTTCATTGTGATGTCTTCACATGTTATTATAAAACAAATAAAATAAAAAACGTCCAACATTCCTAGTTTCTCCCCCCCCCCCCGGGGGGGGCCTGAGTAGTTAAAATTCGTTACACTAGGAAGGTTTTAACATTAGCTCTGGACACATAGTTTAATTTGTTCTCTACCATGATGACCTGATCAACCAAGTGGGGTGGAAAACAAGGCGCAAAGTAGTTTGTGGAGTTTTCTTTGATGTAGCAGAGCTAATATGAGTGATGTTGTTATGGATAGTTTGAAAGTGGGCAATCTTCATCACAGAAGTCACGCTGCAACGGCAACAGGGATGGTTGTAGATAATAAAGTGGTAATATGCTAAGGACTCAGGTGGGTCCGTCTGACTGTATGAGATGGCCGATGGAGCTTCGAAACTTGAAAGTGGAAACACTCGTGTCAATAAAACAGAAACCTCCGGCGGGACCCACTCACAGGTCGGTTGTGCTTCCTGTAACTCTTTGGTGTTTGCAATTCAACAAGCTTGTCGTCGGCCCTAACTAAAAGGTCAGCAAGGTTGTTGAATATATAATCGTTCCGCTAAACCAGTATGTCGCTCCACTTGACCCATATGATGAAGAAAATCATGCTACTTGATTTCTATTTTTCCATGATTGTAAAAATATGGTGAATCGGATTTCAGCTCCAACGAGAAGACACGTCTCATAACACCGTCATGAATACGGGGGACCCATCGAGTTACCTGTTTATGTCTTTTCCTTTTTCTTTTTACTTGGGTTTTGAAGATTGTGTGTGTGTGTGTTGTGTACAGGTTAAGGCTTAAGTTGTCTGTTGAAGCCCATATTTATTTTAGTCCTAAAAAATTATGGTTTTTGTAATATATTTAGATTAAATTTGGATTTAGTTTTTAAATATGTGTTTGTATTTTAAAATTATAATTTGTATTGCTTATTTTAAATTTTAAAAAACTTTACTCCATCTAGACCAAAATGTATAGAATATTGATAACTAATTCACATTTTTTTAAAAAAATATGAATTGAAACCTTAATATCTTTTCAATTTTACCCTCATTAAATATCCTATAAAATTCAATTGATAATAATAGTTAAAATTTTAATATATCATTTTTTTAAAAAAAAGTAGGGATATAATTAAAAAATAATTATAAAAGTTACCTAATGCATTATATTTTATATTAAGTAGAGTTTCTAGAATATGCTTCATATTGTGATTTGGAGGGAGAAATTTGTATTTTAGAACATATATATATATATATAATTTTAAAATTTTTAAAAATAAAAAAACGACTTTCGAGTCCAATCCCAAGCCCAATTAAAAAAATAATTAATTTTGAGGTGACAAGAATTTTAGGACTAAGCTCGAATGGGCTGAGCACATCTGGTTGCCGACTCTATCTTATAATAGAAAAGAGAATAACAGAAGAGGCATACAATGAATTTGGATTTATTTACTTGGTGAGAGGAAAGAAAGGATCAAAAGCGAAGTTAGGAATGAACGCTGGTAAGCAGAAATTGGCATGGACTGCGGAGCGACTCGAAGTTGACGGCCGTTTTGTTTCTGGTGACCGGGACTCATGTTCCCACTCGTAATATTCCTTTGCCAGCAACCTTTTTTGTCTGCTGTTATGTCTTCTTTTTTATTATTATGTCCACCATTTTTTCCACATCTATTCCCTACCCCTTTTTTCTCTCCTTTCTCACTTCTTAAATGTTCTAAACATGGCTGCTTTTTTTTCCTTCTTCACAACCACCTCTTTCTTTACTTCATTCTTCTCAATTAATTCAGAAATACAGGATTTTTTTTTTCCACTAGCGTCTTGTTAAAACCATGAATTAACTTTATAATTAGAGTGGACCACCCCTCTAAATCTGAACCCTATTCTATAAAGTTTAACCCTTAATGTAAAATTCCATTTAATTTTAATATAAGAAAACTTTTTTTTTTTTGATACATAAGAGGGCAGAGCCCGATAGAAAATTAAATTAGTGGGGGGAGGGGGTTGAGAATCCAAACACTCTAAATCCACAAGGCTCTTAAGATGATTAAGAACCCTATCAAGAAAGGAAGTACTTTGCAACCCATCTTTTGCTAATCTATCAGCTACCCCATTTCATTCCCTGTAGACAAAATCCACATAAACTTCCTACTCCTTTTGAAGCATCGAGCATGTTTGAAGCAGTAATAAGCTATCCACTCTTGGTTTTCTAGCCTCCAATTCATTAACAACACTCTTAGCGTCAGATTCTAAGATGACTTTCTTAAATCCCATGTCCCAAGCCAACTGTAAACCTTTAAAAATTGCTCGGGTTTCAACATTCGAAGCACTACATATTCCAAGTGTATGTATGTAAATCCTGCAATCTAAATACCATAAGCATCCCTTAAACATCCACCACATCCAGCTCCATTGTCTAATGATTGTTGTGTGTGTGTATCAAAAGTTTCACATTGCCTAAATGAAGAACTCTCCTAGTATATAAATATTAAGGAATGAAGTGGGCTAGTAAAATGGGCTTGGAGGAGAAGTAGGCTTGCGCACATGAGACAGGCCAACTCAAGGTAATCGCAGTTAAAATCAGTTAATTTGCCCTCCTGCGTACGAGTTCAAGAGGCATTGAATTTCTTATACTGGATTATTTTTACAAAATAATTATTTTTAACTTCCCTGAAAAACCTTAAATTTTGCTGTTTAAATTTGAATTTGAAGCCTTGGTAGTTTTTTGGGCATTAAACTACTTTTGAAAATCAATTTTGTGAGTTAATGTCTTAAACGCATTTGTCTGCCAATGTCTCCAGATTAATGGTGTTTTATATGTGTGTAACCGAAGCCTTAATCCGGTAATTATGAGCCAACGTTCATGTCTCCATCTTCGGGCTATATATAGCCATAGGTGCGGACAGAACAACTGACCAACCTCTTGAGTTTTTGAGGCAATTCTCTCCTCCTCTAGCTTCTATTGTGTTGTTCATCTGAGTTTGGTTTTAGTTTCTGCTATTTTGGTTCTTTGCTCCACAGGAAGTGCTTGTTTAATCTTGAAGAATTGCCGATCCGTCATCCCAATGTATTGAAATAGTTTTTAAGGACAGTGTCCTTCCAAGCATGACTCAAGCAGCTCGTCATTCACTTCTGTACTACTAGTACTGCCAACAATGATGACATGGCACCATCAACATTTAATTTCACCCACCTAGATGGGGGCTTAACAGGCACATAGGGGCTTAGATCATTCCTTACTTCAACCGAGTAATCAATTTGTACAAAATTCTTCCATGAACATAGGATAGCTAATCCAAGATCATATGGTTTACAAAAATTAGGATTAAAAAAAATTATTCCTCCAACTCCATAATTTCCTTATAGCAACACCCCACAACAAATTCCAATTCAAGTTTAAAGGGTTTCCTAACTTTCTATTCAAGTTAATAGAAAACCATTCTGGTAAGGAAGTAGAGAAGAAATTCAAATAACACTTTTAGTCTAATAGTAAGGTCCACATCCATTGAGCATAAGGGCAGTCTCTAAAAATATGTAGGACATTTTTAGGTTGAGAATTGCATCAGGGACACAAAAGGAGAGCTTTGAGACCACTTACTTCTCCATTCATTGGTTGGTAATCTATTTTGAAAGGCTAACCACATAAAGGCACAAATTCATTCAGCACCTTTCTAACTCAAAATAGCTTTAAAGGTAGTGCTATGAAGATGTGAAGGGTTACTTTCAATCAAGAAATAAGCACTCTTAATTGTGAAACACCTGTTGGAAGTAGCATTCTAAATCATAACATCATGTCCTGCACTGGTCAGAGGTAGCAGTACTGTAATAAGGTGTTGAATCACATCTGAAGACAATACTTATGCCAATTGTGTAAAATCCCAAGAACCACTAGAAGCCCACTCAGCTACTGTACTCTTCATCTCGTCTTCAGTCAACGGTCTTGTGCATAGCTCCTTTAGCTTTTTATCTTGTAATAGCCAAATATCATTAAAGAAGCTCACATTTAGACCATTTTGAATCAGCCCACATATTGTAAAAACATATAAAATTCTACAGACACAGGATACCCCTGTAAGCCCAAAGAGACTTGAAAGTTTAAACCTTCATGTGAGCACGGGTTGCTGGGCTTTTTTTTTTTTGCTCCAGTTGGTTGAACTCATCGACATATTCGAGAACAGAAGTGCCACAACTAGAAAGCTGGATGTAGGTTTTGGTTAAGCCCAATAAACAAAAGAAAGGACTTGGATATTCACCTACGAATCCTATTTTGGAGAATGAACTGACTTTCAAATAACATCTCCACGGTCTTGGCGTAGAGAGGCTGTGGACGTAGAGTCTCTAGTTTTGCTTCTTTTTACATGCGTCTTGTGCATAACTGCACATAACCACATTCGAATTCTCTTTCCAATATTTTCTCAATTTCTTTTCTGCTTCTAAGTTTCATATTATTTAATTTGATATCATCCTCTAAAAGGCGGAACATCAGACAACAACTTAAGAATCTAAATGCATCGGTCCACAAAAGTCTTCACTGATGAGGGAATCCCATAATGATTAGGTCCATTTCCTCGTTTGATTAAAATACAGAACAAAATAAATCCAATGTAAAAAGAGAACATTAAGACATGAAAACCTAAAGACATCGATAATTATGAAATCATATTCAATTAAGTTGGAAGACTTAGCTTGCAGCATCCATCGACAGCTACACACACGAGTCATGTACATGCCAATATGCAACCCAAACTAACTTGTTGGATCTCTAACTAGCCTAAGTCATTGCAGTGTCAGCCAGACTGTACTGTACTCTTCTAACTAAAAGAATAAATGTCATACCTAGCTTTAAGTTCTCCAAATTCTTCAAATTTTACCCATTTTAACATACTAGCTCCTCTGAAAATTCTTCCACGAGATTCCTAAAAATAGCAAGCTCGAGCTCCCCTGCCACCTCCTTTTTGTGCTCCTCCATTTTCTTCCATCGATCATCTTCTCTACAAAAGTCTTCATCTATCATCATATCAATTGTTTTAGGTTCCACTTCTTTCCACAATTCCAGCCTCTTGCGAACCCTTCTTATCAACATTTCCCTCTCCTCTGAGGAATTAAGTTCTCTTTCTTCCTTGATAATGAGATCTGAAATCAGTCTCTTGTGGTCTTCTCGGATCTGCAGTCTCTCATGGAAGCTGGTTTGGCAGGTGACTTCTGAGACTAACCTATTAAAGCCATTTTCTTCATCTGATGTCTCATTGTCCTCATCTTCTTGTTCTAACATTCTTTTCTCAAGTTCAGTTGGATCCAGTTCTGCAAGCTTCTCAAAACTACGAAGCTTGTGCAACAGTTGCTGCTTCGCTCCTGTGAAATTAACAGAAAAAAGGGATTAATAATAAAGACCTTTAAACATAATAATTTAGTCATAATTGTTTAAACATTTACTCTAATTTTCACAAAACACATACCAAACAATCAGTAATGTAAGTTAAAGTTAGAATATATTGGATGTTTGGATCTGGGGATAGCCAGTTACAAATCAAGTGATTGTCTATATACGCAGGTGTACTTAATTGGTTACGCATGTCTGTTCAGACTGTTTCGCACCTTGTCTACACCAAATCATTTACCCTTCATTTACGCGACCCTAGTTGATAGGTTTAGTATCTGTGTATTAGTAGAAAATTTATGATGCCTAAAGTGACGGTGCATACCTATACTATTTTAGGTTTGTTTAATTAGAGAAGAATGGAATGAAATGTATTAAAAAAAAGGGGTAAAAATAAGATGATAAAAATGTGAAGAGATAAGGGTGAACTATATTCATAAATGAGAAGGGTAATTTAATTTATAGAGTTAAATTTTATGATTCATAAGGTTTTTAGATGATGTCATGATTCCTACATTTGTGACATATAGTGTTAAGTTTTATCATATTTATTATAAGGAAAAAGGTGATTTAGTTCATCTTTGGGGAGCATATTTAGTGCTCATAATCTGAAAAGTCTAGATTAAACTACTTTTTTTATTTTTTAAATAAAAAATTATAAAATTTATTAATCATCAATATGCACAATTCATATTTAATTATATCAATCCAAATTTAATATTTTTTTATGATTTTTATAAATTGACCTAAAAATTTACTTTGAACTATTTTGAATCTAAGTGATATAAAATAAATCTATACGGTTAATTTATAAAAATTATAAAAAATTAATATTAAACTTGGATTGATCTGGTTAAATATAAATGATAAATATTAATAATAAATATATTTATTTAAAATTTTATAAATTTTTATTTTAAAAATATAAAAAATAAAAAAGTAATATAATCAGTACTGTCCACCTAGATTTAATTTGGATGGCACTTAAATTTAATTTGAATGGTTCATATTGTTTTAGGGGTTATAAATGCCTTGATGAGCACTGAACGTGCTCTGTCATTTTTGTTTTAATATTTTTTTTTTCAATCCATGTTATTCCTATCTTTTTAAGGAATCAGATGAGGTCTCAAACACATAACTCCAGCAATATCTCTTATACGGGTTCCACCACTAACAAACTACTAAATTAAGTCGAAAGTCTCCGACACTGAATAGTAATAATTATTATTGTTATTTACCCATAAGTTCTGCTCGCTCAAATTCTACCCGAGGCATTGAATGGAAATATCCTAAACAAGGAGGAACTGCTTTATTATGAGAGTGGGGTCATGTTCAAATTTATATTAGAAGTAGGCCATATCCACGACCAATGGAAGTGTAGGGCACATGTTGTGATCTCTCAAACTTCAATGCCAGAACAATCATGTCAGAATGAGCCTACTCTATCATATGTTGTATTAGATAATCAAGTCCGAAGATGAGTGCAGGACATCTTGTTGGAAGGAAAACGACCGCGCAACAAACAACGATTAGTGCAAAATTAAAATTTTGTGACATACTCTGTAAAATGGCATAGCTGCACTCCGAATCAAAATCGTCATCCTCATCGTTGTTTTCATGCCCCTCGTCGCCATTCTCGAAGGGTGGATCTAAAACACAGACCGGGCTACACTGCTCCTTCTCTTCCTCTTCCGTCCTTAATTCTGATTCCTTAACACTCTCTGCTCCCTTTTCTTTGTCCTGTATTACAAACAATTCATAACAACCACCATTAGAATATTATCCCAACTTGGGCAGATAGCATTATTTCCCAATGATTAACCTAATGACAATGGATTCGGACTCCAACCGGTTTCGTAACTGGATTTGTCATTGACTTCTATCTTGTAGTTATGTATTTATTTATTTGCTGCAAAACGATTCTTCTAATTTAAACATAAAAACGGATGAGAAATTATTTTCCAGTAAATCGAATGTCGGGGTGAAAGTTGAAACAATAGAGAACAAGAGAAGAAACAAAATAATTTGTCTTGTTTCAAGTAATTGATTCACTAGCAAGCAAGTGTGAAGTGAAAAGGATGAGATAAGATTTGCCTGGAGCACACAAAATCGGGAATGACAATCGTGGAACCAGAAAAACCCAAAGCCCTGGAATTCACTTACAGTTATCTGACTCTCCATGCATCAGATCATTGACAGAATTTTCAACTAACTATGTCTATGACATGACATCGGTGTTAATCAACAGCAACATGCCGGCCAAGTTCGTTGACCTAGACCCTGTTGCCGACAATATGATCACCGAAGGAACTAAGTTAACTCGGCTCATTGCAGCCGAGTCAAAACCGGGATGTTGAGACTTTAATAGCAACATGCTCGCTACTATAAAATAGAAGGAATAGAGTGGAGGAAAAAAGAGGACAAACCTCTGTTCTGTGGCGATGCGGTGACTTTAATTCCGGCGTCTGGTGGCCAGAAGAAGGGCTGCTCCGTAATACAAAGCGAAAAGGGCTTTCGCAGAAGCCGTGATCACAGCAAACACAATGTGTAACGTGTTTCTGGTTGGATTTTGATACAAGGTCAATCTCGTGGGATTCATCGGAGTAGCTGGTACTGCTGGACGTTTCCATGTCCATAGATTTATCCTCATTAGTCTCGGACCATACAGCACTGCTAGGACGTCCATTGTAAGAGCCTGGAAAGCCCACCTCATCAGTAGATACCATTTGTTCTTGATTTTGCTTGCTTCTGTCACCACCACCACCCTGTATTTCCCTCTTCCGATTTCTCGACGTTAGTCTCTTGAATAATGACCTCAATAAACCAAAGCCATTGGTCTTGATGCTGGTCTTAGATTTAGAAGACGAGGACTGCTTCTGAATTCGGAGAGCAGCTTCGAAAAGGAGAGCGGCTGTTCGAGAAGGGATATGGAGGAAGATGGCATTGGGGGACTTACAGGGGCTCTTGGCCGGAGAAGCGAATTCCAAGAATGGCGAGTTTAAGAGATCAGGGGTCTTGCGAAAGGAGGAAAAGCAAGCGTTTTTACATAAATTAGAAGGGAAGTTTGAGTTATGATGATGAACTGGTTTTGGTTTCCGGAGTTGCAGAGTAGTGCTGGAGGAAGGCCTTTTCATCAGCTGGGTCCGTCTATCAGAAATGTACTCGTTCAAAAGGAACGGTTCTTGATCTTCCTTGAGTAGCTCCAGTAAGTGGCGAGCCATCATGAAATAGAGAAGTATATGTGGCAGCTGGAGTTGGGCGCGAGAAGAGAAACGTGTAATGCAGAGGCGGAGCAAAGCATTCTAGAAATTTTGTGAAGTGGAGGGTTCAAATAAGGTCCATTGCCAGCTCATACGGAGAAGGACGGAGGAGACTTCCCTGTTCAAATCTAATCAAGCTCGGGTGAAAACACCGAGACAAGATGGGTGTGTGGGGTGAACAGCGAACTGCTGATAAATAGAAAATAAATAAATTGTGCTGCAAATTGTGTGTGTGGATGTGTGATGGAAAGACTCAGGAGACGTATCAGTGTACAGAAGCAGGAGGGGTGTTTTATGTGGTCTCTCTCTACTTCACACGTCGTAAACGGGACTGCTTTCACAGAAACATGCCATACACGCACACGCAGGGTCCTAATGCAAATTAAGTTTGTAGTCATTTATATTTTGTCATTACGCTTACACTGGCTACAGCAAACCAGGTCCCTGATATTAGTACTACATTACTGCACAGGCACGTGCTGTCATTAATAAACGCATCATAGGATACGGTTCCTTGCATAATAATTTTTCTTTTTATCTTTCTTCTTAAATTTTGATAAATAAACGCATCATAGGATAAGGATCGTTCCCCACCTGGTATTACATTAGAAGGTGAATGATGATTGACTTTACTCTCTCTAGATTTGTATTAGGTTTCGTGTGTACTGCTCTTTTTCATTGTTTTGAATGAATTTCGGCTCTTGATTAACAAAAAAAAAATGGTTAAGATGATACGCACGCTAGCTTATATTGTGCACGTTTGATGTAAAACATTCAAGTACAGACTGCTGATTTACGGCATATTTCTTTCCCGTTGGCATTGTGGCTGTCGATCCTGGTTTGTTATATAAAGCAGGAACAATAATGTCGACAATGGTGGTAATTTAGTACCTAACGTGTAACTAGTTTTCTGCAAAGACAGAAACGCGGATGGTATCTGAAACTCTCGCTTTACAGCTGGGTGAAACATGAAACATGAGTCATGAATGCTTTTGGATTTTATGGAAGGCATTTTTGTCTTGGTGATCAGTGCTTCCCTTTTTACTTGCTAAACCGAAGGGACAATCAGAACAGGCTTGACTTGCCATTACGCACTGTAATTTACATTTAAAAAGCACTGATTTGATTAAAAGTGGGGGTGGTGGCAGTGGCACCAGAACCCAAATGGTAGCTAAACGACGAAAACAGGGGCGCGGCAACTTTGATAATTAAGGCATCTTGACCACACCTTTTTTCCTTTTGTTTTTGCATTCACTGGCTGTGGATTATCTTCGTAAGCTTCTTAGTTTAAAAAGACCGCTCCGACCAAAAACGTAGTGACTTAGAGGCCCTACTATTTACTGCCGACGCCTCCTCCTGCTGAATCTCTCTGATCCTCTCTCTTTTTGAACTGATAACCTGTACAGTCCTTTTCCATTTCCACTCACTACTTCGCCTTTAATTTAAATTTCAAACTACACCATGCATATGTTCTCGTCAATTTCTGAGAGAAACAAATTAAATATCGTGAAGTGTATGTACTATGTTTTGTATAATTATATACCTGACTATATAAAAATCACCGGGGTCGTGTACTGTGCTGGGTGGCGTTGGGAGGAGCGACGCGTGACTCTCCCCAACACATGATTTAGCAGTCTCAGCGTTTACTCGCTTTTTCTTCATCAGCAAAGCCTTGTGTCTCGAACTGACTGTTAAACTTCTTATTTTTTAACCTAAAAAGAACTATGTTGATGGGGTTTGACATACGAGCGTCATCGCACGCTTTCAATACCATCCCCAGAACCAAGTCAATTGCGTTCACACAGCATATATATGACTTTTTCTTTCTTGTTCTTGCACGCGAGAATAATGATACATAACATGCTATAACAAACAATTGCCACTTGCTCCCTCCCGTCCCGTGACTCAGCTCTTTCACTGCTCCTGAACGTCAAAACACAGAAGCCTTCTCCCGAATGTTATTTAGGGGAAAAAAGAGGAGAAATGAAAGTACATATTCTGAAATTTTCATTGAAAGTGAATTTGGTGATATAATAGAATGGAGCTTTTGAAAAAATGAATTTAAAAAGTAAAATATTATTTGATCATGCTATCCCAAATTTAATCTATTATTTTTTATTTAAAAAATATTATCAATTCATTAAAAATAAAATAATTATTTTAATAATAATAATAATAATAGATCAAGTTTTTCACTTTATAGATTGAATAATTAATTTAACATTGATGTATATTCAACTCTTTGTATAATTTTTTTGTCTAATAGATTAAGTTTTATATTATTTAAAATTTTTATTAACTAACAAAAGTTTGTCCAGTTGGTTAAACTTTTTTTGAATAAAAAAATATCATATATATGTTTAAAATTATGTTAATTTTTAGTATTAATGTATGTTAAACTATTTATTATATAATTTTTTAAATATATCAAACTTTATATTTTTTATTTTTATTATTTAACAAATTTTATGTTATTTAAAATATTCATCACATCTTTTAAATATTTTAATTATATTACATTGATATACTAAAAATTACAAATCATCATAAAGTAATATTTTTTTTATAATTGTACATTTCACTGTCATAATTTAAATAAATTTTATTTACTAGATCAGTTTTTGAAAAAAATATATCTAAATATAAATTCTATTATAATAATTAACTTTCATTAAATTGACTTTTGTTAAATAAATTTTTGACAAACTAATTTTTGACTAATGAAAAATCAAACACACACTTTGTTAATGATGCCACCACCTCAATTGACCTTCACATTGTCCATTCTATGTGTTAATTGGAATTCTTAATTGAATAGGATGGCTGCAGCTATATCTGACTGAGATTTTAATTAAACATGCTTCTATCTGTCTAGAAGTGATCTAATCGGGTTCAATTCTTTAAGAGCATATCTACTGAATCAAATATGATTATCTTGAGAGGATATTCCTTTCACTCTTCCTCTATATTATTTACGGAATCTAGTTTTTTCTTTATTTCATCACTACTATAGAATTGTACATAAAATTTTCACTTGATCATATGGCTCCTCGCGAATGAAACAATTAAAATACAATATACATGGATTTCATGAATAAAAAAATATATGGAATCGTGGTGGGATTTTTTAAGATTTCATCTAATATATTAGTTTATTGGAAATTTGTAGTAATTCAAGATGTAATTAAAGATCTTAAACATTTTAGTTTTTAATTGTAGTTAAGATTATGAACTTTGTTGCTATAGCCGACACTTATGTTAAGCTATTACCTAATAAGATTCAAGTATCTATTAGCTATCTGTGCCTGTTGGATTCTAAGAAAATAGATATAAGTAAGTATGACACTATATTTTAATCTAAAACTTTAACTTTTAATTAAGAAATTGAGTTTATAGGTCTTTTTCATCTTAATACTCTTCTTCAACTCAATTCTTCTATATTGGGTGGGATTTTTTTCTCATACTGAGGCAAATCAATTCACAGTTAACATTCTAACAAGTGGCACACCCATTTTGACTCCAGAATTATTACTGCGCGACAGAAGAAGCGCACATTAATTAAACAAAATGTTGACAGGGTGGGTTTCGGGCCGCCTTTTATTCATACAAGGATGAAAGCATCCACGTTGACGTGTCACCAAATTTAATCTTGAAATTTTGTAATCGAGGTTGATATTCACATGCTAATTATAAAATACAAATCATGTGCCATTAGAGAACGAGTAGATGCGCATCCCCGTTTGGTGATTGCTGATTGTTGCAGGTTAACGTACGCACAGAGGTCGACAGCTTAAATTTGTATTCTCGTATAATGACGACATTATACAAAATTACTGCTCTATTGCTGGTTGTTGACGAAGTAAGCATCCGTGGGTAATCATAAGGTGTTTCCCCTCCCCATTCGACGTACACAGGAATATACAACTTTCATGTGCCTATTCATAATAAATAAATTATATCTTAATTAGAACTTATTTCTTGTAATTAAGTTCAGAGACAGTGATTGATTGCCCCACCATATATATACTCGTTAATGTAAAAAGTAAAAACCCTGGTTTTATTCAACGATAAGCTCCAATGGTAGAGAAGGAGTATATGTATTAATTATTGTCGAATAATTATACATGAACAGAGTGAAGGGACCGGACAAGAGGGGCCAAATCGTGGGATGTGGAAAATAAACAGGGGTTCAGAATTACGTGTAAAGCAGTACTCCCATTAGCAAAACAGACAAGAGGGGCAGCAACTTGAGTTGCAGAAGGTTCTGGTAAGCGACGGTGAGCAGGGGAACGCACCATCATGGGGATCGTGCATTTCCCACGTGTATAATAGTGTTGAGGGACGACCACATCCACGTGTCAGGGCCTGTCTCGTATGCCTCCTGACGTGGCAATCTCACCGCTTCCTGCGCGACATAGGATTCCAAGGCGTCCATAAACTTGCTTTATTTTATGTTATTGGGTACAGAAATGTTGCCTTCCGCTATAATGCATTAGGTTTTTAAAAAGGCGCACGTCAGAGTGTGCAGCCAGACGAGAACAAATTAGTTTTGTAGTAAGATGCTGTCACTTTAATCTGAGTAACAGCTAGCAGGTAACTAATGTCAAAGCACCATATTGTCTCTATCAGGCTAATATACTTTAGTCGATTGCCGCGCGGGTTTTGTATCTAGCGTATGTGTCTTGTATTTGCATTTGTAATTTTTTATGGTGAGGTTCAACATGGGGAAAGCGGAGAGAAGATGCATGAAACAGTGGTAATTTTATAGTGAAAATAGGTCCCTGTGACAGCAGACAGGGAATCTCTTACAGTGTATATTAAATGTGGAAGGGACAAAATGGTTGATGTAGAATAATGGCCGGCCACGAGAGGTTCTCTTCACGTAGCCATTGAAATGGAATTGGATATTTTCCATCGCGAATCCATCCTCGGATATGGAAATGGGGATGCATGTATAGATTGTGTTTTCTGCATATCGCGTTCATGCGGTGAATTTCATGACAGTGATATGGGACGGATGTGGAGGCCATGTCGTTTCGGAATGTTCTTCCATGCCCCTATATATATATATATATTTATATTTTTGAATATAAAGTCACAATAAAAACATCATGCCAAATGACAAAAGTCAAATCATATCAGAAGTTAAAATGCTTCTACAATCTATAAGATTATCATCAAATAAAGTAATATTAAAATACTTGCTTGAGGCCCTGTAGACTAAAAGATCAGCACATCGATTAGCTTCTCTATAGATAATTTTTCAATTCCTCGTGATGATATTTCTAATGCTTCTTATGATTGCTAAGAGTGGATGGCTCTGGTCAAAGCTACCATTAATGAAG